GTCACCGACGATGCTGCCCGACCTCATGACGTCACGATGTCTACTGACGTCACCTCACGATGTCTGCCTGACGTCACCTCGAGATGTCTGCTGACGTCACCTCGCGACATCACATGATGTCACCATCGAGCGTTCAGTAATTATTTTAGTATTGTCGAGAAACAAGTCTGGTGACACTTAGACTAACCTCTGCTATAACTCCAACTGCCGAGAGAATGATACTCGCCAAGCCGCAGTTAGCCCTGTCGGCAAGCGCTCTGTCAGCCTCGTGTCACAAGCTTCAGTGAGCAGCCTGCACAAAGATGATGTCACTTTGACTGCTAGCTCTCTCACTGCAGTCTGGTGTATGATGTTACGACTCCCAGATGTTTCGCCCAGTCGTCTCTGCCACGACTCGCTCCACGCTCGCCGGCAGTGACAGCCCAGCGACAGTACCAGTCGAGAAGTGTCCTCCCGAGTCACTTGCCAGAAGTCCTGCCCAGTTGCCGAGTTTTGTCGACGCCTCAATCGAGGGCACCAGCATGTCGTGCCCAAGGCTGAGTGAAAACCTGCAGCGACTCCTACGATGACTGCTTCACCGTTCCAGAGGAGACTGTACCCTGTTACGTCACAGCTCAGCCGCAGCGATGTCTCCTGTGTTGCAGTATCTGTCCAGACGCAGGAAAGCGTGCAGTGATGCCCTTCGACGCTCACTGCCTATGACCACAATGTTTAGCACACCCCACATGTTTTTTTCTTCCCTCCCTGTAGGAAGTTTTTTTTTCCATGTCCATATGTATATATATGTTTTTATTTTGTGTTCTGTGCCCTGTTCCTACGAGAGAGAGACCGAGTTTCTTTTACCACCAGTATTGTCGCGTTGGGACGACACACGGTAGGTGGCCGAGCGTATGTAGACAGCCTGTACTGTCTGCACAGACAGCCCATGCTGTCTGCCAGCTTAGTTCATATTTCTCGCCATGCTGGTGCTGCCACCTATAGGCGTTGCCACTTCAGCCTGCCTGCCCTTGCCTCACTCTCACTCACACAGCAGCCTAGCAGGAAGACACAAGGCCTACTCCTAGCTCTCTCTCGTGGGATGGCCCTCCCGGGCCATGGGCACAACACACAAGCCTGTGTACCCACCACGACATTATCAATAAAGTAAGAAGCCTCCGAAGACGTTTATCATTCACACCCCATTATCATACTACCAATAAACCCATTAAACAGATTCTGTCAGTTCCAGCTGCTTTACCCCCTTTCATTCTACGTAATGCCTCACGCACCTCCCCCACATTCGCATCCTGTTCTTCACTCCTAAACGATGGTATACCTCCCTGGCCAGTGCATGAAATTACCGCTTCCCTTTCTTCGTCAACATTTAGAAGCTCCTCAAAATATTCTCGCCATCTACCCAAAATCTCCATCTCAAACTTCTGCCCCACATTCTAATAGTGCATTTTTAAAACTAGTGCAATCCTCTTCAACCCCCCCCCCCCACTACTCATACTTGCACCAGCCCACCTTTCTGCCAACAGTTGCTTATATCTCACCCGAACTTCCTCCTGCCTTAGTTTATACACTTGCACTTCCCTCTTGCTTGTTGTTGTCATTTTCCTCTTTCCCATCTACCTCTTACTCTAACTGTAGCTGCAACTAAATAATGATCCGATATATCAGTTGCCCCTCTATAAATGTGTACATCCTGGAGCCTACCTATCAACCTTTTATCCACCAATACATAATCTAACAAGCTACTTTCATTACGTGCTATATCATACCTCGTATATTTATCCTCTTCTTCATAAAATATGTATTACTTATTACCAAACCTCTTTCTACACATAGCTCAATTAACCCTTTCGGGGTTTCGGCCGTACTAGTATGGCTTACGCGCCAGGGTTTTCGAAGTACACCTACCATCCGACTTACGACCTGCTCGACTTATGACCACTCGACTTACGACCGTGTTTTTTATGCCAAATTTCTGAGAAATAAACTATTTGTGTTGTACACACTGTTTATCCTAAACCTTACAGTATAAAATACAGTACAGTGGACCCCCGGTTAACGATTTTAATCCGTGCAAGAGGGCTCATCGTTATGCGAAATAATCGTTATGCGAATTAATTTTCCCCATAAGAAATAATGGAAATAAAATTAATCCGTGCAAGACGCCCAAAAGTATGAAAAAAAATTTTTTTTACCACATGAAATGTTAATTTTAATACACACAAACTGAAAAAGGCATGCACAATTACATGACACTTACTTTTATTGAAGATCTGGTGATGATTGATGGGATGGGAGGAGGGGAGAGCATTATCTTCTTACTGTTTAGAAGGGGAATCCCCTTCCATTAGGACTTGAGGTAGCAAGTCCTTTTCTGGGGTTACTTCCCTTCTTCTTTTAATGCCACTAGGACCAGCTTCAGAGTCACTGGACCTCTGTCGCACAACAAATCTGTCCATAGAGCTCTGTACCTCCCGTTTCTTCAAGACTTTCCTAAAATGGGCCATAACATTGTCATTGAAATAGTCACAAGCACGGCTTGCAACAGCTGTGTCAGGGTGATTTTCATCTATAAAGGTTTGCAGTTCAAACCACTCTGCACACATTTCCTTAATCTTTGAAGTAGGCACAATGGATTCCACAACTGGCATAGGGCTTCTCAGGGTTAGCCCCAAACCCTTCAAAATCTTTCTTAATTTCCATACTAATTCTCACCCTTTTTACCACAGGGTTGGCACTAGAAGCTTTCTTGGGGCCCATGGTCACTTATTTTCCAGAAACACCACCGAAAACACTGTAATAATACGAAATATTCCGAGTGTATGCTTGGATGTTACCGCGGAGGCTGGCTGGTAAACAATGGGACGGCCGGCACATGTGAGGGCACATTGGACGCGTCTCGGACGAAAATCGGTATGCGGGTTTTTAATCGGTATGCGGGGCAAAAATTTTGCGATAAAAGTAATCGTTATGCGGAAAAATCGCTATGCGATGCCATCGTTATGCGGGGGTCCACTGTACTAACAACATAAAAAGTAAATAAAACATGAAATACAAAATAAAACAATAAAATAAAGTCATTACAAAAATGTTTTGTTGATATTAAGTAGTAAAGTTCGATTTACAACCATTTCGACTTACGACCAGTTTCTCGGAACCGAACTCGGTCGTAAGTCGGATGGTAGGTGTACATGTACTAGTACGCATAAATTCTAGCGCCCTCAAATTTAGCAAGAGAAAGCTGGTAGGCCTACATATGAAAGAATGGGTCTATGTGGTCAGTGTGCGCAGTATAAAAAAAATCCTGCAGCACACAGTGTGTAATGAGAAAAAAAAACTGTCAGTCTATGGTTTAAAATAGCGACTTTGCACTGTATTTTCGTATGGTATTTATTGCTGTATTCTAGTTTTCCTGGTTTCATTGTATAGAATGGAAGACATATTACAGAAATTGCGATGATTTTGACTGGTTTTACAATGAAAAGTACCTTGAAATTGAGCTCAAAGTAGCAGAAATGTTCGTTTTTTACCAAAGTTCAAAAGTAAACAAATCATGCCAAGCGTCCAATACACATCAACTGGTGAGTCTAATATTCTTTCACAAGTGCGCCGATATTATTTATACCATTTCTACACTAATGCAATAGTATGCATAACAGTAAATCTTATTATTTTTGTGAGAAAAAATCAAAGTGGAAAGCAAAAGAAATGGAAGAGGGGCCTGGGGATGTGACTAATGAACAGAGGAAATGTTATTTTAGTGCCAGGAATGTCTTTCTTGTTTATTCTGGACCCAATTTGGAAATTGGCATTTTTTGAAATTTGTGTGAAATTGGCAAAATTGCTAAATTCTGACCACTTTATTGGATAGTTGAAATCAGTCGAAAATAGGGCTCAAAGTGGGTATAATCGCCGATGCGTAAACATCGTCAAGACTGCTAACTTCCTGAGAGCATAATTCCGTAAGTTTTCCATCAAATTTCATACTTTTGGTGTCATTATGATTGGGAAAAGATTCTCTATGTTTTCATATGAATATATATATATCTTTCTTTCAACACACCGGCCGTAACCCACCGAGGAGGGGTGGCCCAAAAGGAAAAACAAAAGTTTCTCCTTTTACAATTAGTAATATATACAGGAGAAGGGGTTACTAGCCCCTTGCTCCCGGTGTTAGATAGGAGTGAATGGAGACGAATGATACTTGGGACCTGACGATCTGTTGGAGTGTGAGCAGGGTAATATTTAGTGAAGGGATTCAGGGAAACCGGTTATTTTCATATAGTCGGACTTGAGTCCTGGAAATGGGAAGTACAATGCCTGCACTTTAAAGGAGTGGTTTGGGATATTTGCAGTTTGGAGGGGTATGTTGTGTATCTTTATACGTATATGCTTCTAAACTGTTGTATTCTGGGCACCTCTGCAAAAGCAGTGATAATGTGTGAGTGTGGTGAAAGTGTTGAATGATGATGAAAGTATTTTCTTTTTGGGGATTTTCTTTCTTTTTTTGGGTCACCCTGCCTCGGTGGGAGACGACCGACTTGTTGAAAAAAAAAAAAAAAAAATTCAAAGTTGGGAAGACAACAGTGAAAAGCTCAACCAAGAATAAAGAAAAAACCCTAAGAATAAGCATTATCTCAAACTTGCCTCTTGAAGTACATATAAATCAAACAGCAGTAGCACAAAGCAAGTTTGCAAACAAAAGAGCAGTCAAAGAGTTTCAAAACTATTCATACTCCAGACATGTAACCTATTATTAAATTTGCATTACCAATGTAGTACCCACACCTAGCACATAGATGATAAAAAGTCTGGGAAAGTTATCTTTTCCCTCCTAGTAGGTTGAACAGGGTATGTCTGTACTTGTAAGTATAAAAGGATGGCATAAAAATTATTTAAGTGAGAGGATATTATCAACAAGCACATCTCTAAAGGCATGTTTGCACAAGACTTAGGAGACACCCAAGCAGTAATTTAACCTTGATGTAATAAATGCATCAACTAACCTGGAAGACTCTGAATTGGAGCTGGGCGAGCGTGTAGGTCGTCTACGCACTTTAGGTCTTGGAGATGAAGAACGTTTGCGTGGGCTACCAGATCTCTTTGGAGGACTAGGTGAACGTTTACGTGAAATAGGAGAGTGCTTGCGAGGAGTGACCGATCTTTTCCGGACACTGGGAGATCGCTTACGAGGCGTGGGCGTCCTTTTACGAAGACTCGGTGACCTCTTCCGAATACTGGGTGACCGTTTACGTGGACTGGGTGACCTCTTCCTAATACTAGGTGATCGCTTTCGAATTCCTGGTGAATGTTTTCGAGGAGAATTTCTACGTCTGCGATCATCATCCTTTCTTGGAGATTTCCCCCTGGGAGACCTAAAAAAATAAACCAATTTCCACTGTACGGACACATGATTTTTTAGTGAAGGTTAAGAATAGAGGTCCTTGGCATCTCTACCTCTTCCCCACAAGGAAAGCAAGTCTATTTTAATCACCAATACAGTATAAAGGTACTTGCTTGTGTTATCTCAGAGCACAGTAAACTCCAACATAACTGATTATATTATAAGGGATTGTCCAAGTATCTTAAATTGGAATGTTAATTGCATACAAGGTGTAATGTATTGCAACTAAAGTCTATTTTTGTCTAAAAAATTGTACTTTTAACCCGTAAACGGTCCAAACGTATATATACGTTTTTTCAACATTTGAAAGTAGGTAGTAGGTTGGTAGACAGCAACCACCCAGGGAAGCATACCATCCTGCCAGATGACTGTGAAACAGAAACCTTTAACTGTTTTGCATGATAGTAGGATTGCTGGTTTCTTTTTCTGTCTCATAAACATGCTAGATAACAGGGATATCTTGCTACTCCTACTTACACTTTGGTCACACTTCACAGACACGCATATGCATATATATATATACATACATCTAGGTTTTTCTCCTTTTTCTAAATAGCTCTTGTTCTTCTTTATTTCTTCTATTGTCCATGGGGAAGTGGAAAAGAATCTTTCCTCCGTAAGCCATGCGTGTCGTATGAGGCGACTAAAATGCCGGGTGTAATGGGCTAGTAACCTTTTCTCCTGGAGACATTTACTAAAAAAGAGAAAAAAAAATTATAAAACTGGGATGCTTGAATGTGCGTGGATGTAGTGCGGATGACAAGAAACAGATGATTGCTGATGTTATGAATGAAAAGAAGTTAGATGTCCTGGCCCTAAGCGAAACAAAGCTGAAGGGGGTAGGGGAGTTTCAGTGGGGGGAAATAAATGGGATTAAATCTGGAGTATCTGAGAGAGTTAGAACAAAGGAAGGGGTAGCAGTAATGTTGAAGGATTAGTTATGGAAGGAGAAAAGAGAATATGAATGTGTAAATTCAAGAATTATGTGGATTAAAGTAAAGGTTGGGTGCGAAAAGTGGGTCATAATAAGCGTGTATGCACCTGGAGAAGAGAGGAATGTAGAGGAGAGAGGAGAGATTTTGGGAGATGTTTTAAATGAATGTATAGGAGCCTTTGAACCAAGTGAGAGAGTAATTGTGGTGGGGGACCTGAATGCTAAAGTAGGAGGAACTTTTAGAGAGGGTGTGGTAGGCAAGTTTGGGGTGCCAGGTGTAAATGATAATGGGAGCCCTTTGATTGAACTTTGAATAGAAAGGGGTTTAGTTATAGGTAATATATATTTTAAGAAAAAGAGGATAAATAAGTATACAAGATATGATGTAGGGTGAAATGACAGTAGTTTGTTGGATTATGTATTGGTAGATAAAAGACTGTTGAGTAGACTTCAGGATGTACATGTTTATAGAGGGGCGACAGATACAGTGGACCCCCGCATAACGATCACCTCCCAATGCGACCAATTATGTAAGTGTATTTATGTAAGTGCGTTTGTACGTGTATGTTTAGGGGTCTGAAATGGACTAATCTACTTCTCAATATTCCTTATGGGAACAAATTCGTTCAGTACTTGCACCTGAACATACTTCTGGAATGAAAAAATATCGTTAACCGGGGGTCCACTGTATATCAGATCACTTTCTAGTTGTAGCTACACTGAGAGTAAAAGGTAGATGGGATACAAAGAGAATAGAAGCATCAGGGAAGAGAGAGGTGAAGGTTTATAAACTAAAAGAGGAGGCAGTTACGGTAAGATATAAACAGCTATTGGAGGATAGATGGGCTAATGAGAGCATAGGCAATGGGGTCGAAGAGGTATGGGGTAGGTTTAAAAATGTAGTGTTAGAGTGTTCAGCAGAAGTTTGTGGTTACAGGAAAGTGGGTGCGGGAGGGAAGAGAAGCGATTGGTGGAATGATGATGTAAAGAGAGTAGTAAGGGAGACAAAGTTAGCATATGAGAAGTTTTTACAAAGTAGAAGTGATACAAGGAGAGAAGAGTATATGTTATCAACAAATTTTGTTGAAAAATAAGAAAAAGTTTTGGAGTGAGATTAACAGTTAAGGAAGCCTAGAGAACAAATGGATTTGTCAGTTAAAAATAGGAGAGGAGAGTTATTAAATGGAGAGTTAGAGGTATTGGGAAGATGGAGGGAATATTTTGAGGAATTGTTAAATGTTGATGAAGATAGGGAAGCTGTGATTTCGTGTATATGGCAAGGAGGAATAACATCTTGTAGGAGTGAGGAAGAGCCAGTTGTGAGTGTGGGGGAAGTTCGTGAGGCAGTAGGTAAAATGAAAGGGGGTAAGGCAGCCGGGATTGATGGGATAAAGATAGAAATGTTAAAAGCAGGTGGGGATATAGTTTTGGAGTGGTTGGTGCAATTATTTAATAAATGTATGGAAGAGGGTAAGGTACCTAGGGATTGGCAGAGAGCATCCATAGTTCCTTTGTATAAAGGCAAAGGGGACAAAACAGAGTGCAAAAATTATAGGGGAATAAGTCTGTTGAGTATACCTGGTAAAGTGTATGGTAGAGTTATTATTGAAAGAATTAAGAGTAAGACGGAGAATAGGATAGCAGATGAACAAGGAGGCTTTAGGAAAGGTAGGGGGTGTGTGGACCAGGTGTTTACAGTGAAACATATAAGTGAACAGTATTTAGATAAGGCTAAAGAGGTCTTTGTGGCATTTATGGATTTGGAAAAGGCGTATGACAGGGTGGATAGGGGGGCAATGTGGCAGATGTTGCAGGTGTATGGTGTAGGAGGTAGGTTACTGAAAGCAGTGAAGAGTTTTTACGAGGATAGTGAGGCTCAAGTTAGAGTACATAGGAAAGAGGGAAATTATTTCCAGTAAAAGTAGGCCTTAGACAAGAATGTGTGATGTCACCATGGTTGTTTAATATATTTATAGATGGGGTTGTAAGAGAAGTAAATGCGAGGGTCTTGGCAAGAGGCGTGGAGTTAAAAGATAAAGAATCACACATAAAGTGGGAGTTGTCACAGTTGCTCTTTGCTGATGACACTGTGCACTTGGGAGATTCTGAAGAGAAGTTGCAGAGATTGGTGGATGAATTTGGTAGGGTGTGCAAAAGAGAAAATTAAAAGTGAATACAGGAAAGAGAAAGGTTATGAGGATAACAAAAAGTTTAGGTGATGAAAGATTGGATATCAGATTGGAGGGAGAGAGTATGGAGGAGGTGAATGTATTCAGATATTTGGGAGTGGACGTGTCAGCGGATGGGTCTATGAAAGATGAGGTGAATCATAGAATTGATGAGGGGAAAAGGGTGAGTGGTGCACTTAGGAGTCTGTGGAGACAAAGAACTTTGTCCTTGGAGGCAAAGAGGGGAATGTATGAGAGTATAGTTTTACCAACGCTCTTATATGGGTGTGAAGCATGGGTGATGAATGTTGCAGCGAGGAGAAGGCTGAAGGCAGTGGAGATGTCATGTCTAAGGGCAATGTGTGGTGTGAATATAATGCAGAGAATTCGTAGTTCGGAAGTTAGGAGGAGGTGCGGGATTACCAAAACTGTTGTCCAGAGGGCTGAGGAAGGGTTGTTGAGGTGGTTCGGACATGTAGAGAGAATGGAGCGAAACAGAGTGACTTCAAGAGTGTATCAGTCTGTAGTGGAAGGAAGGCGGGGTAGGGGTCGGCCGAGGAAAGGTTGGAGGGAGGGGGTAAAGGAGGTTTTGTGTGCGAGGGGCTTAGACTTCCAGCAGGCATGCGTGAGCGTGTTTGATAGGAGTGAATGGAGACAAATGGTTTTTAATACTTGACGTGCTGTTGGAGTGTGAGCAAAGTAACATTTATGAAGGGGTTCAGGGAAACCGGCAGGCCGGACTTGAGTCCTGGAGATGGGAAGTACAGTGCCTGCACTCTGAAGGAGGGGTGTTAATGTTGCAGTTTAAAAACTGTAGTGTAAAGCACCCTTCCGGTAAGACAGTGATGGAGTAAATGATTGTGAAAGTTTTTCTTTTTCGGGCCACCCTGCCTTTGTGGGAATCGGCCAGTGTGATAATAACTAATAACTAACTAGTGAAATAGCTAGGAATTTGATTAACTGGAATAATGATTGGCCTAAAATGGAAGTCAAAGTCGGCAAAAATCGCCTATGCGTAAATATCGCTGAAGAAGCAAAATTTGCAGGAGTGCAAATTCATCAATTTTCCATCAAATTTCATACTTTTTGTTTTATTACCTTCAGAAAAAGATTCCCTACCATTTGATAAGAAAAAAAAAGTTTTGAAAATTTTTGGACCCTGTGGACAAGTCTCAGATCGGGGGTCTGGACCCTGAAAGGGTTAAGGGATACCTAATAAAAAGATTATTACCATACTAAAACAAAATTCATGTAGGTACACTGAATATGTCTAATATAATACAAAGGCTTTACCTGTCAGTTCGTATGTTCTTTCTATCTCTAGTATGACCCTTGTCTCCTCTCTCTCCTCTATCACTTCGTTCCTTCTTTGCAGAAATTTCAGGCTTTTCTTGTTTGACTGATACCTCCAGCTTGGGTGAAGATTCACGTTTGGGTGACTTGGTGGATGAAGATTTCTCTTTTGTTGTAGCTTCACCATTTGCTTCCTTCTTCTCCTCTTTAATTTTTGTTTCATCCTTTTTATCCCACCTAAGAAATTAAAAACCAAAATTACTTACTAAATAATTAACAAACAACACACTCCTACCTACTGAACCTTCAAGACAGCAGCTTTTATTCAAAAAATTAGTGTAAAGATACAAATAACAAATTTTTTATACAGAAGACCATTATCTGACTAGGGTTTATTTGGCACATTTTGGTTATAGCGCTATTGAAGAGTTGCAGCACAATGTTATACAACACTTCGTAAAATAAACTTCTTAAAATAAACACGGTTCAGCTTGTGAGGAGGAGGAAAATTTTGGAATGTCACCCGCAGGATACTTTTAACTGTGGGTTAAACCACTGAGTCAATGGGGGAGACCTACTGCCATCCCCCGTCACCCTCCACAACCCTTGTCCCAGTCTTCAGTTCATACGTGCGTAGAACCATCCTCTCCTATGAGTTAGCTGCGTTTAATTTTGTTTGTGGATTGAGTTTAGATCTTTTAATTGCCATATCTTAAATCTGCCAAGCAATCATGGCACCCAGTAGTCATACAAGTGTTGCTGAAAGTGGCAAGAAAAAGTTTAAGCACTTATGTCTAGAAGTTACGATAACAATCGAGATGTTAGACAAGCTTAAGAGTGGCTCACGTGTGGTGTATATAGCGAGGGCCCATGGCTTTAATGAAGCTTCAGTTCGCACAATTAAATAGATCGAGGTGAATATACGAGCTCGTGTAATGAATAACCCAAGATGTCATCTCGTGAAAAGAATGACATGTGGATCACAACAAGTAGATGAAACAGAAAACTTGTTGCCCGAGTGGATCGAACAAAAGACAAAGAAAGGTTCACTACTTAATTTCATCTTAATTAGGTAAAAGGCCTTACAGTTGTTTAAAGCGGTGTGTGATAAGGAAGGCCTGAAAAAGAGTGTATGTTTAGCAGAGGCTGGTTCCACAACTTTAAGTTGCATAATAAGTTACATAATATTAAGTTTTCTGGTGAAAGTGCTTCAGCTGATCATACAGCAGCAAGTAATTTCCCTGCTGAATTGCAGGAAATTATTTCTGACGGTGGCTATGGGCCACAACAAGGGTTTAATGCTGACAAGACAAGTGTTTTTTGGAAGAAAATGCCAACACGAACTTATGTCAGTCAGCAAGAGAAAAATGCACCAGGCTTCAAGACAGCAAAGGACTGCTTCACCTTGCTCCTTTGCAGTAATGCATCAGGTGATTTCAAGTGTAAGCTCATGGTTATTTACCGCTCTAAGGATCCTTGTGCTTTGAAAGGTGTAGATAAAAACACCTTGCCAGTCATTTGGAGGTCAAACAAGTCAGTACGGATGACAGGAAATATTTATTGACTGGCTTAAGCATCACTTTATTCCTGAAGTAAAGTTTTACCTGCACAGCAAGAACCTTGCATTCAAGGTTCTCTTCATTCTTGATAATTTCCATACTCATCCACAAGCTTTGCTTGATGTGACCACACATGCAAACGTTGTATTTTTACCTCCAAATACATCTCTAATATAAACACTGGATTGCGGAGTTAAGTCATTCAAGTGTAACTACACAAAAAAAAAGTTATGCAAAAAGCAGTTGCATCAATGAACTTTGACTCCAATCTGGCAGTAGCAAGCTTCTGGAATAAATTTAACATTGCAGATGCCATCAGTTATGCTAGAAGTGCATGGAGTTAAGTGCCCCAATCATCATTAAATGCAGGCTGGGGAAAGTTATGGCTTTCTGTAGTTAATTCGTTCACTGGTTTTCCCTTGCTTGAGCGTCAGGTTCAGGAATCTGTTCAGCTGGCAAGGAGATTACCAGGTGATGGTTTTGAAGATATGAATGAAGATGTGAACAAGCTCTTAGAAGATGGCAGAGCTCAATGCACAGATACAAGGGAGCTACATAACAGATGATGATGAACAACAACCTAAAGAAAAACAGTTAACATTGCAGCAGTTATGTGAACACTTCCATATTACATGGCAAAGTTGCAGACTTTTTCACTGAAGAGGACCCTGACAAATCTAGAAGCAGTGCTTTGAAACAGGGTCTAGACCAGCTGATGATGCCTTACCGTCAGCTTTATAATGTATTGCTGGGTGAAAAGAGCCCAGAGATCCATTAGAGAATTTATGCACACTCCAATACAACCATCGACTTGAGTACCAGAACCTCGACCATCCACTTCTGCCGACAACCAACAACCATCCACCTCACCCCAGTAGGGCCACACCATGCATATCCAATATTCACAATCATCTACAAACATCATTACCCACAATTTAAGGTAAGAAATACTATAACAGTGAACCCCCCAGTTAACGTAATTAATCTGTTCCAGAGAGCGTGTCTTATACCGAATCTGACTTAATCCAAATTAATTTTCCCCATAAGAAATGATGAAAATCCAATTAATCCATTCCAGACACCCAAAAGTATTAAACAAATTTTTTTACATGAAATATACATTTTCCTACACAGAAAAAATGAGACATGCAAAATAAACAATACTAAAATGACACTTACCTTTATTGAAGACTTATTGATATCAATGAGTGATGAGACGGGAGGGGAGAGGATGTAGGTGTACTAGTGTTTAGAAGGGAAATCCCTTTCCATAAGGACTTCAGGTACCAAGTCCTTTTCCAGGGTTACTTCCCTTCTTTGTTTTTTAATGCCACTAGGACCAGCTTGAGTCACTGGACCACTTTGACACCAAAAATCTGTCCAGAGAGCTCTATTTATGGCATGTCTAAGATTTCCCTAAAATGGGACACAACATTGTCATTGTAGATGTTGCCAGCACAGCTTGTAACAGCTGTGTCAGGGTGATGTTCATCCGTAAATGTTTGCACTTCAGTCCACTTTGCACAAATGTTATTAATCTTTGAAGGAAATTCCTGAGCTGTGATCTGTTGGTGTTGCACCTCAAGCTCTTGCAGCTCTGTAGTGGTTAGCTCTTCGTCGTCATCCTCCACGAACTCTTCCACATCCTCCAAACTCGTATCCAACCCCGTGGAATTCCCCAACGTCACAACAGATTCCACAACTGGCATAGGCTCCTCAGGGTCAGCTGTAAACCCTTCAAAATCCCTCTCTTCTACACATTCTGGCCACAATTTTCTCCAAGCAGAGTTCAAAGTGCTGGAAGTCACTCCCTCCCAAGCCTTACCTATAAGGTTTATGCAAGTGAGGATACTGAAGTGATCTTTCCAGAACTCTCTTAGGGTCAATTCAGTGTCTGAGGTCACTTCAAAGCACTTCTGAAACACTGCTTTGGTATACAGTTTTTTGAAATTTGAAGTGACCTGCTGGTCCATGGGCTGGAGGAGAGGAGTGGTATTAGGGGGCAAGAATTTCACTTTGATGAAATTAAACTCCAGCACCATTCGCTCTTCCAAGTCTGGAGGATGAGGAGCATTGTCCATTACCAGGAGGCACTCAAGTTTCAATTTATTTTCCAGGAGGTATTTTTTCACACTGGGGGCCAAACATGTCACAGAACCAATCTAGGAAAATATCCTTCGTGACCCATGCCTTGCTGTTTGCCTCTCACATCACACACAATTTAGTCTTGACAACACTTTTTCTTGAACACACTGGGATTTTCAGAGTGATACACAAGTAAAGGCTTCACTTTCAAATCCCCACTAGCATTACTACAAAACATGAGAGTTAGCCTGTCTTTCATAGGTTTGTGTCCTGGGAGTGCCTTTTCCTCTTGAGTAATGTAGGTCCTGTTTGGCATTTTCTTCCAAAACAGGCGTGTTTCATCACAATTGAACACTTGCTGGGGTTTTAATTTTTCAGCCTCTATGTACCCCTTGAAGTCCTGAACATATTTTTCAGCTTTTTTTTTTGTCAGAACTGGCAGCCTCACCATGCCTAATCACACTGTGTATGCCACTATGATTCTTAATCTCTCAAACCAACCTTTGCTGGCCTAAAATTCACCAACTAGTTCCGGCATTTTCTTAATGAGATCACGATGCAACTGCCATGCCTTTTCACATATAATAGACTGCGAAACACTATACCCTGATAATTGCTTCTCGTTGATCCACGCCAACAACACTGTCTACATCTTCGAGTATTTGTGATCTCTGTTTCGTAAGCATATTTGCACCTTTCACAACAACAGCTTCCTCAATTGCCTTTTTCTTGGCCAAGATAGTAGCGACAATTGTATGGGGTTTGTTATTACAACCTGGCCAGCTTGGAGACATGCACTCCACTTTCGTATTTTACGATGATCTCTTTCTTGAATTCTATAGTGTTTCTCACCCTCTTTACCAAAGGGCTGGCACTAGAAGCTTTCTTTGGGTCCATGGTGGCTTACTTAGCAGTTACAAACACTAAAAACAATGGAATAATGCAAAATGTATCGCATGTACGCGTGGAATCAGCTTCACTGACTTGTAAACAACGGTACAACTGGCTGTACATGGAGTGGTGGGCCGCTCACGGTGCGTAGACACATTCGGGACGAATGACTAACCAAGTTCAGTGTTGTTAACCGAGCCAATATTTTGATGCAAAAACATTACTTATTCCAATTTTTTTTTTTTTTTCAACAAGTCGGTCGTCTCCCACCGAGGCAGGGTGACCCAAAAAAGAAAGAAAATCCCCAAAAAGAAAATACTTTCATCATTCAACACTTTCACCACACTCACACATTATCACTGCTTTTGCAGAGGTGCTCAGAATACAACAGTTTAGAAGCATATACGTATAAAGATACACAACATATCCCTCCAAACTGCCAATATCCCAAACCCCTCCTTTAAAGTGCAGGCATTGTACTTCCCATTTCCAGGACTCAAGTCAATTAGTATTACTTAATCTGATGATGTCTTAATCTGGGGGTCCACTGTATTTCTATTCCACTTGTAGTCTTAAGCAGTAATATATCATGACAAACTACAATTACATATTCACTTTTACTTTTGCAAGATCTGCTGGTCTAAAAAAAGTTTGGCTTTTTGGGGGCTCCCAGAAACGTAACCCTATTTTTCCCACAAGTTCTTCAGTTTATCTAACACGGTTTTACCTAACAGGAACGTAACTATCAAGTTAAATAATGGTCTATTGTATACAATATTATTTTTTGCACTCCTATATATTTCATCACCCACCGAGGCAAAGTGACCCAAAAAAAAAGAAACACTTTCACCATCATTCACACTATCACTGTCTTGCCAGACACACTCGGATATGACAAGTAAGATATGCACACCTCTGACAAGTGAAAATCTTAATTCTCATATCTGAGTGTCCCTGGCAAGACAGTGATAGTGTGAATGATGGTGAATGTGTTTCTTGTTTTTGGGTCACCTTGCCTCGGTGGGATATAGCCGATGTGTTAAAAATAAAAAAAACTGACTTTCAAATTTATAAGTAATACATCAACTTTAATTAGCTTATCTTAAAGCCTTAATGTATCTCAACTGCGTGTATATGTTGGCCTGTAAACACATGCAGAGAAATGAGCAGACTATATCTACAATTAATACTAGAAGTTAAACAAAACAATTATGAATGTACAGGTACATGTACTTGTGCACACACTTTTCCCATCTTTCTTTACAATTTTTTTTTATGTAAACAAGAATCTTGTACGTTGGAGAGCAACCGCCCAGGGAGGTACTACCGTCCTGCCAAGCGAGTGTAAAACAAAAGCCTGTAACTGTTTAAATGATGGTAGGATTGCTGGTGTCCTTTTTCCTATCTCATGAACATGCAAGATTTCAGGTACGTCTTGCTACTACTACTTACACTTAGATCACACTACCCATACATGTACAGTCATATATATACACACCCCTCTGGGTTTTCTTCTATTTCCTTTCTAGTTCTTGTTCTTGTTTATTTCCTCTTACCGCCATGGGGAAGTGGAACAGAATTCTTCCTCCATAAGCCATGCATGTTGTAAGAGGCGACTAAAATGCTAGGAGCAAGGGGTTAGTAACCCCTTCTCCTGTACATATTACTACATGTAAAAGGAGAAACTTTCATTTTTCCTTTTGGGCCACCCCGCCTCGGTGAGATACGGCCGGTGTGTTGAAAGATAAAAGAAGCTTTATGAATGTAACCATATTACACATTACAAATTTTACTACAAAAACAAAATGAAATTTGGTTTACAAAGGTCAGTTTTGTTCCTTTCCTGTTTGACTTATGATTTTATTAGAAAAAATGTAGTGTAACATGTAAAAATTAATACAATGGAAACAAAAAAATTTAAAAGCTTAAATTATGGTTGGTAGAAAATGCATTTGACAAGAATTGCAAGTTTTGCTTGTGAAAAATACTGACCGAGATGAATCTTTTTTGGGGTCTTTTTTGTCATCCTTGGAACGTGGAGAGCGAGACCTATCTCGCCGTGAATTTCGTGAAGATCTATCTCTGCTGCGACTCCTCCTGTGAATGTAAAATGTTATAAAATTATGTAGTAAATAAATTCACACGCTTCTATACTAAAGTATATACTGTATTAGTAACCCACTCATCTGAACTAGAACATGAAAATATGGCCACGAGAATCAAAAACAATTTCAGTTATGTACATGTGCTCCTGACCATCAACCTACAGCAGAAAAAAACCATACCACGGGCAGGGATAGAACCCACGATCATAGAGTCTCAAAACTCCAGACCGTCGCGTTAGCCACTGGACCAGCTAGCCAGTGGCTAACGCAACGGTCTGGAGTTTTGAGACTCTCTGATCGCGGGTTCTATCCCCGCCCGTGGTATGGTTTGTTTGCAATCATGTCATTACGATTCCGTGAGTGAACCTACAGCAGTCTGTAAACATTAACTCAAAACACAGAACAAGGCAAGATACCCTCGACATATCCAAGGCAAAGGCAGGCATAAATAAAGGCAATATAAAGAGGGTACCAAGGTTATCCAACCAAGAAAGAATGAATAATGGATTCAAGTTTGATAAAACAAGATTTAGAAAGGATGCATGAAAGTATTGGTTCAGCAATAGAGCTACTGATAGGTGAAACAATCTGCCATATAAAATCACTGAAGCAAAAATCTTGGGTAACTGACACCAGGCTGAAAAATTATACAAGTGAGATAGGGGGAGGGTTGAACTTGAAGAGGACCTGCCTAGCATGGGTCAAAAGCCTGCTGCAATGTACTTCCATTCTAGTGCTGTGTCCTCAGCAAGTTTTTACTGTGCAAATTACAAATAACACCGCACTGTCAAATATCCAATGTTCTAGACATTATATGGAAGGTAGAGCAGACAAATATGCAAAGAATATCCTACATTTGAAAATGTTATTTTTGAATATATACAGTAGCTAAATAATGATTTAGCCCTGAACACAAAATAAATTGCTAATTTTTTTTTTCAACAAGTCGGCCGTCTCCCACCGAGGCAGGGTGACCCAAAAAGAAAGAAAATCCCAAAAAAGAAAATACTTTCATCATCATTCAACACTTTCACCTCACTTATACATAATCACCATCTTTGCAGAGGCACCCAGATACAACAGTTTAGAAGCATATATAAAGATATATAACATACCATACCACGGGTGGGGACAGAACCCGTGATCAGAGTCTCAAAACTCCAGACCGTCGCGTTAGCCACTGGACGGTCTGGAGTTTAGAGACACACTGATCGCGTGTTCTATCCCCGCCCGTGGTATGGTTTGTTTGCAATCGTGTCATTACGATTTCATGAGTCATATATAACATATCCCTCCAAACTGCCAATATCCCAAACCCCTTCATATAACCCCTTGACTGTCGAAACCCCAAATCCTGAGGTGTCTCCTGGTGTCGAAAAAAAAAAAAATTACGAAATGATAGAGAATCTTTTCCCAATGGTAATGACACCAAAAGAATGAAATTTGATAGAAAACTGATGGAATTACGCTCATGCAAAGTTAGCAACCTTGGTGATATTTACGAATCTGCAATTTCACCCAATTTGAGTCCTATTTTCGGCTAATTCCATTGTTCCAGTCGACCAAACTCATAGCTATTTCTTTAGAACTCCATTTTTCTATCGATTGAGTACAAGAAACTGACCATTTATCAATTTCAACTACCCAATAACGTGATCAGAAATTTGCAACTTGGCCAATTTCACAAAAATTAAAAAATATACGACAATTTCAAAATAGGGTCCAGAATGAACAATGCTGGCTCTAAAGTAACATTTTCTTTGTTCATCAGTCATGTTTCCAGGCTCCTCTGATATTACTCTTGCTTTCTATTTTGAATTTTTATTCAAACAAAAAATAGAAGATTTACTGTTATGCAGACTACTGCAATATTGTAATAATTGTATAAATAATGTCAACCCATTCATGATTGCATATCAAAATGGCTAGTTGGACATTTATTGGACAATGACATCATTTGTTTACTTTTGAACATCAGTAAAAATCAAACATGTCCCCTACTTTGAGTTCCATTTCAAGGTTTTCATAGTAAAACCAATCAAAATCACCTCTATTTCTATAATATGTTTTCCATTCTATCAAATGAGACCAAGAAAACAAGAATACAACCATAAATACTATACAAAAATAGACTACACAGTCAGCATTTTAATTTATTTTTTTTTTTTTCATTATGCACTGCATGCTGCAGGATTTCTTTTATATGGTACACACTGACCACACAGACCCATTCTCTTACATGTGGGCCTACCAGCTTTCTCCTGCTTGATTTGAAGCCGCTAGAATTTATGAGTATATATATGTCAAACACGATGGATCGTAAGACATATATATACGACAGAAACAATCAAAGGGTTAAAGTGTAGGCATTGTACTTCCCATTTCCAGTACTCAAGTCCGGCAATATAAAAATAACCGGTTTTCCTGAATCCCTTCACTAAATATTACCCTGCTCACACTCCAAAATATTCATATGTTTTTTGATACCTTTGCATGTGGCTTATCAAACAAACATGCTGCTAACCTTTCTTAAGCTACCTAACTGCCAAAACACTGCCTCATGTCCTTCAGTCCACATATGAAAAGAGTATCTTCAAGAGTGTAACCTCCCCGATATAAGAGATGCTAGCAAGTCTTAATGGTTCTTACCTGTCTCTGCGGTCCTTTTCTCTGTCCTTATCACGATCTCGGTCCCGTTCTTTTTCTTTTTCTTTGTCTTTATCTCGTTCTCTTCTAGCTTCTTGAATCTTCTGTAATCTTTCTTCTTCTTCCTGAAAGTTTATTGGAATTATAATGTACAGTAGACTATTGTATTACATGAATTTATTTCCCATCTTTTGGTTATTGCACTACTGAAAAATTGCGGCACAATTTTATACAATACTTAGTAAAATTAACTTAACGCAGTTGCATTTGTGGGCACGGAAAAAATTTCCCCAGTTCAAGCTGCCACCTCATTGTGGGTCAGACCATTGTTAGCGGGGAAGACCTACTGCCCTCCCCTGCCACCCCCATCCCAGCCTTCGTGAATACATGTCCAGTACAATTATCTCCTAGGAAACCATACCACGGGCAGGATTTGAACCCACGGTCAGAGAGTCTCAAAACTCCAGACCGTCGCGTTAGCCACTGGGCCAGCTAGCTTCATTATGTTGACAGCTTTGAGGGGACTTGAGCTAGAGTTCGTCACGGCCATGCTAGCGGGAGATTCGTCTGTAAAAACTTGCATTTGTGGACACAGTGGTGCCTATGCTAACCTTCCAATGGTGTAGAAATACACTTAGTTGGACGAATCTTACTGAAGCTAGCTGGCCCAGTGGCTAACGTGACGGTCTGGAGTTTTGAAACACACTGACCACGGGTTCATATCCCACCCATGGTATGGTTTGTTTGCAATCGTGTCATTACAATTTCCTGAGTCATATCTCCTAGGAGCTAGCTGTGTTTGTGAATTGTGTTTTGATCTTTTAATTGCCATATCTTGTATCTGCCAAGCAACCATGGCACCCAGTAGGCATATGAGTGTTGTTGAAAGTGGCAAGAAAAGGTATATGCAGTTAAGTCTTAGAGCTAACAAAGAAAATAAGAGATATTAGACAAGAGAGAGCCTATAGCCTTAATGAAGCATCAGTTTGTACAATTAAAAAGAATGAGGTAAATATACAAGTTTGTGTGATGAATAACTGACTGACTGACTTACTGGCTTTACAGACCAACTTACAAACTTTACTGACTTACACTTTTTCACTGAGAGGACCCTGACAAATCTAGAAGCAGTGCTCTGAAACAGTGTCTAGAGCAGCTGATACCTTATCATTAGCTGTGTAACGCACTGCCCAGGAATCCATTACAGAATCTATTCACACTCCAGTACAACCATCAACTTCAGTACTAGAACCTCTACCATCCACCTCAGCCCAGTAGGGCCACAGCATAACTCTCCACTCCCATCACAATTATTGACAAACACCAGCACCCACAACTGAAGATAAGAAATACCATTATTTCTGTTGCATTTGTAGTCTTAAGCAGTAAAAACAACATAATACATCAAGACAATAAACTACAATTACATATTCAGTTTTATAAACCATACCACGGGCGGGGATAGAACCCGTAATCAGTCTTAAAACTCCAGACCGACGTATTAGCCACTGGGCCAGCTGGCTACAATCATGTCATTATGATTTCGTGAGTCATTCAGTTTTATTTTTGTAAGATCTGGAGATCTAAAAAAAAAAGTTGTTTGGCTTTTTTGGGGCTCCCAGGAACATAACCCTATTTTTCCCAAAAGTTCTTCAGGTTATCTAACATGGATTTACCTAAAAAGGCATTCAGGAACGTAACTATCGTGTAATATAACAGTCTATTGTATCTTTCGTATCTAAGTACTCATTGCTGCCATAATAATAAAATAAAATTTGTATATAATGTAAGCAAAAACAAGCTGGTTCAACAGTCAGACGTGACAAATTATTCAGTAACTATTCCACGTGCCTTGAATCAGACATACTAAGAAGTGAATGCCTTAAAATCATGAGCACTTCCATACCTAAAGCACAAAGGATATTGCTGGTAGCAAGTACGTCTTGTTACTTCTACTTTTACTCAAGTCACACTACACATGCATGTACATGTTTATGAATACACACTCATCTGAGTTTTCTTTAATTTTATCTTAATAGTTCTTGTTCTTATTACTTTTCCTTTCACATCCATGGGGAAGTGGAATATGAATCTTTCCTCCGTATGCTATGCGTCTTGTAAAAGTCAACTAAAATGCTGGGAGCAATGGGCTAGTAAACCCTTTTCCCGTATAGCCTACTAAAAAGAAAAAGAAGAAAACCACCAAAGTAGGATGTTTGAATGTGCGCAGTTGTAGTGCAAATGATATGAAAGAGATGATTGTGGATGTTATGAATGAAAAGTAGCTGGATGTCCTGGCTCTAATTGAAACAAAGCTAAAGGGGGTAGGAGAGTTTCAGTGGGGAGAAATAAATGGGATTAGGTCAAGGGTTAGAGTTAGAGCTAAGGAAAGGGTAGCAATAATGTTGAAGGATATGTTATGGCAGGAAAAGAAGAAATATAAATGTATAAATTCAAGAATTATGTGGAGTAAAATGAGGGTTAGATGTGACAAGTGGGTTATATTAAGTGTATATGCACTCGGAGAAGAGTAAAGTGTAGAGGAGAGAGATTTTGAGTGAGTGCATTGAGTGAGTGGTTGGGAACTCGATGCTAAAATGGGTAAAAATGCTGTAGAGGGAGTCGTAGGTAAATTTGGGGTGCAGGGGTAAATGAAAATGGAGAGCCTTTAATTGAACTGTGTATAGAAAGAGGTTTGGTAACAAGTAATACATATTTTATGAAAAAAGGATAAATAAGTAAACATGATATAGCACGTAATTTGTTAGATTATGTACTGGTGAATAAAAGGTTGATGGGTAGGCTTCAGGATGTACATGTTTATAGAGGAGCAATGGATATATCAGATCATTATCTAGTTGTAGCTACAGTTACAATAAGAGGTAGATGGGACAAAAGAAAAATGGCAATAGTAAATGAGAGAGAGGTGAAAGTTTATAAACTAAGGGAGGAGGAAGTTAAGGTGAGATATAAGCAACTTTTGGCAGAAAGGTGGGCTAGTGCAAGTATAGGCAGTTGGGGGGGGGGGGGGTTGAAGAGGGATGGTCTAGTTTTAACCCTATCAGGGTCGACAGGCCCTCTCAGAGACTTGTTCTCAGGATCGACAAATTCCCCCCCCCCCAAATCTTATGAAAAGATAGGGAATCTTTTCCCGATCATAATAACACCAAAAGTATTAAATTTGATGGAAACTTACGGAATTATGCTCTCGCGAAGTTAGCGGTCTCGACGATGTTTATGCATTGGCGATTTTGCCCACTTTGAGCCCTATTTTCGGTCAATTCAAGTGTACTAGTCGACAAAACTCATAACTATTTCGCTAGAACTCCACTTTTTCTATCGAATGAGTACAAAAAACCACCCATTTACCGATTTCAACTACCCAATACAGTGGCCAGAATTTAGCAATTTTGCCAATTTCACACAAATTTCAAAAGCTGCCAATTTCTGAATAGAGTCCAGAATAAACAAGAAAGACATTCCTGGCACTAAAATAACATTTCCTCTGTTCATTAGTCACATCCCCATGCCCCTCTTGCATTCTTTTGCTTTCCACTTTGAATTTTTATTCTCACAAAAAAATTAGAAGATTTACTGTTATGCAGACTACCGCATTAGTGTAGAAATGGTATAAATAATATCAGGGCACTTGTGAAAGAATATTAGACTCACCAGTTGACGTGTATTGGACGCTTGGCATGATTTGTTTACTTTTTATCTTTGGTAAAAATCAAATATTTCTGCTAATTTGAGCTCAATTTCAAGGTACTTTTCATTATAAAACCAGTCAAAAATCATCTCAATTTCTGTAATATGTCTTCCATTCTATAAAATGAGACCAGGAAAACTAAAATACAACAGTAAATGTGTGTAAAGGTAGAAAGTTGAAAGTGAACATAGAAAAGAGTAAGGTGATGAGGGTATCAAATGATTTAGATAAAGAAAAATTGGATATCAAATTGGGGAGGAGGAGTATGGAAGAAGTGAATGTTTTCAGATACTTGGGAGTTGACGTGTCGGCGGATGGATTTATGAAGGATGAGGTTAATCATAGAACTGATGAGGGAAAAAAGGTGAGTGGTGCGTTGAGGTATATGTGGAGTCAAAAAACGTTATCTATGGAGGCAAAGAAGGGAATGTATGAAAGTATTAGTGTACCAACACTCTTATATGGATGTGAAGCTTGGGTGGTAAATGCAGCAGCGAGGAGACGGTTGGAGGCAGTGGAGATGTCCTGCCTAAGGCAATGTGTGGTGTAAATATATGCAGAAAATTCGGTGTGTGGAAATTAGGAGAAGGTGTGGAGTTAATAAAAGCATTAGTCAGAGGCAGAAGAGGGTGTTGAGAGGTGGTTTTGGTCATTTAGAGAGAATGGATCAAAGTAGAATGACATGGAAAGCATATAAATCTATAGGGGAAGGAAAGAGGGGTAGGGTCGGTCCTCGAAAGGGTTGGAAAGAGGGGGTAAAGAGTTTTGTGGTGAGGGGCTTGGACTTCCAGCAAGCGTGGCATGAGCGTGTTAGATTAGGAGGAATGGAGACGAATGATACTTGGGACCTGACGATCTGTTGGAGTGTGAGCAAGGGTAATATTTAGTGAAAGGGATTCAGGGAAACCGGTTATTTTCATATAGTCGGACTTGAGTCCTGGAAATGGGAAGTACAATTCCTGCACTTTAAAGGAGGGATTTGGGATATTGGCAGTTTGGAGGGATATGTTGTGTATCTTTATACGTATATGCTTCTAAACTGTTGTATTTCTGAGCACCTCTGCAAAAGCAGTGATAATGTGTGAGTGTGGTGAAAGTGTTGAATGATGATGAAAGTATTTTCTTTTTGGGGATTTTCTTTCTTTTTTGGGTCACCCTGCCTCGGTGGGAGACGACCGACTTGTTGAAAAAAAAAAAAAAACAGTAAATACCGTACGAAAATACAGTGCAAAGTCGCTGTTTAATCTAAAAACACGGTCAAACTTTTTTTTTCTCATTACGCACTGTGCTGCAGGATTTTTTTATACTGCGCACACTGACCACACAGACCCATTCTTTCATATGTAGGCCTACCAGCTTTCTCTCACTAGATATGGGGGCGCTAGAATTTAGGCGTACTAGTACGTCAAAAACCCC